TTTTGTGGTGTTTTAGTTAACATGAGGGAAAACCCATATTTATAAAAGTTTTAGATCAATAATGAACTAAGAAATCCAATTTTATCTCAAAGGATATCTCAGAACTTAAATTTCAAAATAACTCATTTACGTTTAGAAAAAAACACAAGAAAAAGGATTTGTCCAGAACTTAAATTTCAGATTTACCCCTTTTAGTAATTGTTTTGCAAAAACTATTTGAGCATAATGTTTTATTCATAAATAGAAATTTTTTTATTAACATAGAAAATAATATTTATTTAATTAATGTTAGATATACATTAAAAAAGTATCCAAATGTATCTAGATTACATCGTTGACAACAAGAATACAACATTACATACAAAAATCGATGTTTGAACCTAAATAAATTGTTAGATAATAACTAAAAGGTATCAAAATATGTATCACTACCTAAATCTATATCTATGGGTGGTTCTGCCTTTAACTTTTCTTATTTTATTATCTTTCAATCTCGTTCAATTTGGTGAATTCTTCTATCCTATCCAAAACGTTATATGGCTAAGTTCCAACTTTCTTTGTGGAATGAGTTGTCCACTCCGGTGATGTTTGTGCTATAGGACTTTCTGGTTTCAAATAAACTTGGACAAAATGTACTAATTTTGAAAGTCACCCAATACACATAATGCTTCCAATTGGATTTTAAGGTGAGACACTCCGAAGGGGGAAAATGTTTCCGAAAAGCCATATCTTGTCAGATCAATACACATCCTATAATATGCATTTTCTATTAAACGATCAATTTCAAGGAAGCTCGTCCATTTTTTCTCCTGTGTAGGATCACTAACACAAGGAATAAGTGAATCATGAAGTGCATCAAAATGTTTTTTTTTCGTATACCGTTGTGTATGACTTTTTACGAGTCTTCAACTCTTTGATAAGTTGTTAGCAAACAAGTATATAATTCTCCTCTCCTACGTCGAGCAAAGCTGAAATAGTTTGATAACTGTAGTTACTGTCACCCTTAATAACTACAATTCGTTCAATTTATTTACGTATATAAATCAAAATCTCTTCACTGTGTTTGATTTTTAGTAAAGGTGGTGAAAGAGATGATTTGTTAATGCGAGCAAATTTGAAAACATTTTTTTTTGAGATTTTGAAGTTGGAGAATCCGAAAAATGTGTGCCAACATTTTTGAAATTGGAAGGAGACCGCTTGGTTGAATTGTCACTATGTGTTGGTTTGAGCTTTTTAAGAGCACTCTTTGTTTTACTAGTTCCGGTGGTGATTTCAAATATGTGGTTTCTAGATAGGCAATATTCCTCATCTGGTCTTTGATGTACAATTTTATTTTGTTATCAGCTTTCAAAAAATCTCTTGAATCATTTCACATTCGATCATGACACACACACGCGCGCGCGCGCACACACACACACACACACACACACACATATATATATATATATATATATATATATATATATATATATATATATATATATATATATATATATATATATATATATATATATATATATATATATATATATATATATATATATATATATATATATATATATATATATATATATTCTATTTACCATCTTCATCAAACCAACACCTTTTCTAGTGTGTGTAAACCTCATCCATTTGCATGAGTCTATCAAGTTTCATCTTCTTTGAAATCAAACAAGCACACAAAAGACCGTACATCTTCCTAAGTGTACAACCATACTTTGAACTATCTAAACCTACTTTCTCTACTCATTTGACTCCGTAGAAGTAATACCAACACTTTCTAGAAGTGGAAGACTGTACATGTTGGTCTTATACGTGGAATCAACTATGAGCATAGTGAAAAATGTGTTGAGTAACTTGATGGAATCAAAATGAGTCCAAAATATATCTTGAACAGTTTCTCCATCCTCACACATTATGTACCTAGATACATAATGATTATCATCCAAAAGTTTTAACAGTTGTTGCATTTCAGTTCTTGAACTTCATATCACCTTGTTGTTTCGGGCATGAACGTTGTATACTTCTTTAATGTTTGAGACATTATGAGGTCTTTTCCGTTTCAAAGTTGCAAGTATATTTTTGGGTTGCACAATGTTCAATGTCATATCAGAAACATGACCATTCTCTTTAGAATTAAAGTGACATACAATGCGATGGTCAACTAACTTGTAACAAAAATAATGATTATGTATACCACAAACCACATTAAATTTCCATGTATTATTCGCCTTAAGGTATCCACACAACTTAAAAGGACATTCACCTTTCCTCGAACCGATGTCATCTCGTTTCAAATTTTGAATAAGTTTTTTTGTACTTGTCACTTCTTTCACATCTCGTTGTCACAAATGTCACTCTTCTATCATAACCAGAATCTGACCACCCAATTACAATGTTGAACCCCAATTTTGTATCATTTAAGCGAATCTATTTGACCATATGTTCACGACATCAAACTCATGTTTATTTGTAAATTGTTTATCAACATCTACCTCGACATCAACCAGTTTAACATCCAAAGACACAATAACTTTGGGTACACATTGAGGCTTGACATCAATTAGTTTAACATCCATAAACATAATAGTTTAGGGTATAACGTCAGGGTGCTCAATTGCTGCAACCAATAATAGCATAATCAAATTTAAATTCAACTTGAAAACAGTTTGGAGTTAAACTTCCAAAAAAACATGCAACATAATATGAAACTTAACTTTCGGACGCAACATTCATTTTTAAATAGCTCAACCAAATTCTTACAATCAATGAGGAAATAAATACATGTACATTACCTTAAATTGCAGCTTCTTTTGTTCATTTTGATATGAAATAGTATAAGAATGTGATTTTGAAGTACAAAGTTTGATTGATAATGGAAGGATTTTTTTTTGGGTTTTGGAAGTATGATGGTCTGATCATGAAATAAAAAGTACAAGCAAGGTGGTGTTATATTTATCTTCTCGCTAGGTAATTCCGAAAGTTAACTTTCTTATTCTCCACTGATAGTTTTCTCCCATTCAGAACAAGGTTCTAAGATCACGTCTTCTTCGTGTCCCATACTGGAAAGTCCAATCTGCTGCCGACCGAAAGGTTGTTACCCTTTCCTCGTTAGAATACAAGGATGCAAATTCATGCATATTAATGTGTTTGTCATACTTTCCCACTGACTCCTGATAAGAATGAAAAAACATGAATGTCATACTTTCCCACTGACTCCTGATAAGAATGAAAAAACATGAATGTTATTATCAAAGACATTTAGGTCTCATCCCCCATAAGTCCTAACAAATAATATTAAAAGCGCAAGTGCTCCCAATGGGCATTCTAAAGGAAAGTCAAGAATGGGATGGAAGAAGATAGTCATAACTATAATGATGATCAAGAACTTGGAAGATGCGCTTTACACCCGTACAAACTCCTGGTTGTGTGAATAAGTATTTAGCAAAAAAAAGATTAGAGGAAAAATATGTGGAATTTTATAAAGAATGAAGTTTAGTTGTAGAGGAAGCCTATTGTCGTCTGAGCGTCCTAATTGTTATAAGAAATGAGAAAGATCCCTTGTATTAGGTGCACATATATGGAGTAAGACCAAACTTGACTTCTCAAGAAAGATCATCATCAATTAATTATGTAATGCACTACAGGTCTTGCATGATTTGTGCTTTAATATCTCTTAGATGACTGACATTCAATTAGTTTGAGTTGATTAACATTTGAATTCCAGTAACTGACGTGTGGGTTACATTACTGACACCTATAATCATACCTTAGGACCAACATACAAATGTGACACCTCACATTGAAAGTCTCACCTGAGGGACCCAACTAGGCCTCTCCTGAGAGACTCAACTAAGTCTTGCCCAAGGGAATCAGGTGACCTTCATCCAGAAGGATCATATGAAACTTTGAGACTTTAAGGTGGGAATAAAGCTTCGACTAAGAGTTTTGAGGAAAGCCCGAAGATGTGTCACGTGTTAACACACTTTGGCCTCTATGAGCCCTCGTGCTTAAGGGAATGTGCAGTGGTATAATTGGAAGAGGCCTTGGGGTCAGGCGAAAGGTACACGTTTAGCCCATCGAATAGTCATTTTATTAGTTCGAGCGTCCCATTTTCGATGATTACGTCTCCCCTTTTTCAGATATGTCGCCCAGACCTCTGATATCTCCTTCCATAATGTGCGATTGTGGGCAAATCATGTATTGAGTCCATAAACATTACATAGTAAGTTGTAGAACTTAATTACACTTTCTAAATTTGAGGGAACCAACCACACATTCTTTGAGTGGTTGTTACAATTTAGGAAGACTCGGTTTTAGACCTCTAAGACTATAAATATATTAGATTGTGATACTTAAAGACAAACGACAACCTAAAAATACACACATACATGAGTTTCTCATCCCAATTGAGTTAGCTCCCAATTGTATTTTTAGCGAGTACAAACCAAACTATCTTTTATGGTATGACAATAAAAACATTTCATGAGGTGTAATATGGAAGGATGCTCATTAGTCAACTATCCAAATACAGTCCTTAGATGAAACATTTAGATAATTTAATTTTCTAAGAAGAAATGCATTTGAGGCCACTTCACCTGTGGTTACATTTTCCTTCTTCTCATGTTTTATGCAGTAGGATGAACGGTCTCATCCAGAGTCTCACTCATATTTTCTATTGATGCGGTTTTCCATAATAGTAATAATTGAATCTAGTGCAAGACATAGATCTCCCTTGGAGGTTTTCACAACCACAATTTTATCAATTCTTACTTCTTCCTATATTTTCAAGTACATTAGATTCAAATTGATTATTCATGCTTTTTCCCTTCATCTTTTCTCTTGATTTAACTGAACTGAGGAGTACAAGTGTTTGTAACTGAGAATAGTTTTTTAATACAATTGTTGAGAATTGTCTACATAATTTCTCTCTTTTATTATCTTAAAATTAAGCGGAAGAAATCAAACACTGGCATGTTAAAGTAGATGAATCTATTTCATCAGTTCTTCTGAATGAGAATATACACACCATGTCCTGGCTCAACAATCATATTGTAAGCAGGAGAATGCTTATAACTAGGAGACAAAGAGAAGCTGAACTTGGAGACAATAAGGGCTAGCACAACCTTTAGTTCAACCATTGCAAAGTTCTTCCCCACACACAATCTAGTGCCGATTCCAAATGGCACATAAGCTTGTGGAAACTTGGTAGCCTTAGAAACACCCTCGCTGAACCTTTCTGGTTTAAACTCATTTGAATCTGGTCCCCAAATTTCAGGATCTCTGTGCAAAGTTGGAATCAGTGTCCACAAACAAACACCTTTTGGAACATTTAGGTTTCCAATTTGGATATCTTCATATGCTTCCCTGGATACAAAGGCTGCTGGTGGATATAATCTTAGCACTTCTTGAATCACCATTGTCACCTGTAACCAGTAAAATCCAATGGTCCATAAGTTAGAAGTACATACATGCTCTTTAGCACCAACACGTGTCTGGTGTCCGTGTCTGTGTCAGAGTTTCATAGCATGCATGTGTGTATTTTTAACGAAATCAAATTGAGAGTCAATACCGTTTTCAAAAGAGGGAGAGAATCTGCATCTGGTATGCCATTGGGGCAATGTTGAGCCACCTCGGTTCTTATACGAGTTTGCCATTCGGGGTATAAAGCAAGAAGCATCAAACACCAAGAAGCTGCAACAGCAGTAGTTTCATGACCAGCAAAGTATATGTTTTTGCAGTTATCCACAATGAACTGCTTTGAGAAATCCTTCCCTAAACTTTGATCATTCATTGCAGCTTCCAGCAGTAACTGCATCAAATCCTTCTCTGACGAGGATTCTCGCTTCCGTTCCTCCACTAACTCCCATATCAGTGACTCTATCTCTTTCTCCAAACTGCTTATCTCATCTTCCTTCTTCGTCCGAAATTTCAGTTTCTCCCTGCAGACATGAGTTATCAATCAGTTCTCTATCTCATTACACACACATTGTTATATTTATCGACACGTATGTAACCACATATTTAATCGAATTCGAATATAATCGGCTTACAGGAAACCGCTCTGTCCAAAAAGGAAGCCATGGTTCGACATGATCTTTTGGATGCTTCTAAGCTTTAAGAAAACTTCTTTTCCCTTAGAATAAGAATGTCCAAAACAAACCCTTGAAATAACATCAGCTGAAAAGCCTCTCAAATCAGCATCAACTTTAACTTCAGCTGTGGCACCACCACCTTGCTCCTCAATAATTTGTTCCCATTTTAGAAGTAATGGCTGTGCTGACTCTATCATAAGCCCCACCATACCCTGCCACAAATAGTAATGCATAAATTCCACATATTCACTGTCCCTACCATGTTACCCTTCAATTCTCCTAAGATATTGTATCTATAGATTTAGCCAGGAAAAATGATAGAACATGATAGACTTTATAGCTTCTTTTATCTTGTGGTGCTAATTGCATATAAATTGATCCAAGTTATTGCTATCCAGCTCGAATATAACTGTGTATAATTAATCTACTACGACTCTAGTTCGCTATAAGCTTTTCTCCTAACTTATCAGTTATCCGCTATTTTTTATTAAACCGAGCTGAAATAAAGAATGAGAAATTAAGTTAAATAAGGTTGAGGAATTTATAGATAGATACCTTAACTTTGTCCATGAAAAACTCAGCTGCAACAAGTTTTCTCTGCTGTGCCCAACTATGACCATTGGCTCTCAAAATGCCATTACCAAGCATTGGTGAAAGTTTGTTAGTAATATAAGAAGGCTTACCTAAACCTAAAGTCATACATTGGTTCATTTCCTTCACGAGATCCGGTTCGTTTACGTAGAGATGTTGCTTCATCCCTATCGAGTAAGTGTACACTAAACCTGCAAATAGTATGATTAGTAATTTGTTGTAAAATGACTATTATCAATTATCATCACTTGAATTATAAAATACATTTAATAATTAAAAAGAAAGATTTGGAAGAATATATGTATCATTTTGTGTCCATGGGTTGTTACTTTTCAAAGTCTGAATTACTATCTAGAATGAAGAATGAAAATCAATGTATGCTTTTCCACTTTGTATCCCACTAGAAAACCAACTAGGAATGTCCAAAAAGACAGTGTTGTCACATCTAAAATTAAGGAAGCACTAAAACTATACATTAGACTTTTAAGGAATAAACAATCGCAACTATCAACCTAGTTAACTTAACTTGATAAAGTGAAATCAGCAATGCTACAGATCCTAACAGATGAATTAATTGATTTTTTTTTCAATAATCTATTCTACTAATGAGTTAAGTGTAAACAAGGAAAGTGGAAAGAAGAATGAAAAAAAGAAGAGAAGGGTAAATAATAAATATACCGTATTGTTTTCTCCACTGTTGAAAAAATGGGAAGAGTGCAGCAGAATAATCATGAGCTAGAAACGGATCATAATTTGGTTTGGATAAGCTAGCTTGTGATTTGATTCTCTGCATATCAGGTAGATTCCCATGTAGAAAAGAAGAAGGTGGAGGCCCTTTAATACCTTGCGTTTGGAGCTTCCTTCTAATCCTTTGAGAGTTATACCACAAATTGCCATAAACATAAAGTATCCAGCTGAAAATACCTACAGCAGCAAGTGAAGAAGCTAGTTTCATGCCAAAGGAAAACACTTCCTCCATTTCTATTCCTTTCCCTTCTCTCTCTTTGACTCTAATACAGTGTTATTTGCTAGATAGCTACAAGAAAACAATAATATATTATTTCTCTGAGAGAGCAAAAGCTGATTATTTTGTCTAGTTGCAGAAACTTATATGCATGTATTTAGCATATATAGAGCAGGCACCACTATAGCAAGATTTTGTAATGGTGACACGTAAGCATTTTGTTTGGGAAGTGGACGCAATAAAATGTGAATAAAAGGACAAGAACATGAGGAGACACTATGCAAAAAAGCATGCATCAATGTGTAGCATGATGTTTGTATGCATGATGGATAGGGTGGATAGGGACCAACGTGTACATGAACCGACCAGTCATATCATTCATATAATACAAACAATAAACAAATGGGATGAACTTATGTTTTCTTTATTAAATTATAAGCTCAAAAGAGATATTATCCACACACTACTCATACATGGTAGACATTTATATAGGAAAATAAATAACTGTATAATCACAAGTTCAAATAAACTAAGATACTTTCATGTGTCTCCTCCTATGGCTGGATGGTGGTTGTTGAAACACTGATACAAACAAATGGTTGATATTAGTGCAGATTTAACAACAGGATAGAAAAGACAGTACAGAATGTGATTCTCCATCTTTTATAATGCACCGGCGGGATCGGAAGGTAACGCGTATTTATTTATATTTAAAATTACAAGAAAAAAATATAATTAATAAAAATTAGTAAATATAAAAAATATAATTTATATTAAAAAATGATAGAATCAATACTCGCCGTTGATATGGGTTGATGATGCGTATTTATGTTTAAAATTAAAAATAAATTAAAAAGACAAAATTATTTTACAAAAAAAATTATTTAAAAAAAATATATTTTTATTTATAATTGGAGCATAAATATAATTTTTTCATATATATAAATATTTGGATCAACCATATATTTTTCGGTATACATATTAATTTTTTTCTTATATTTTTTATAAAAAAAATTATGCAACAATATTTTTTCGTGTATAAATATTATTTTTCAAAAATATAAATGTAGATTCATAATTATTTATATATATATATATATATATATTTATCTTTATTTTTTTTAATTGTATAAAAATTGTGATAATCCGTACATTCGCATATATTCTGTTACCCGCGTGTTTGCAATGGTATTTGTAAGTTATATGCAATTCTTTTGAAAATGTAATAAAATTGGATAATAAAAAAAACAAAATTGCTTATATATATTAGACAAATTATTACATCAATAATATATAAATCACCTTCCATTTATTTTCTTAACAAATTTTGTATTTTAAATTTAAAATAATTTTAAAATAAATTTTTTTAATAACAAATATTATATCTTAATTAAAAATAATTTAAAAAATATATATTATTATTAAAAAATTATATTAATCAATTTCATAACAAATATATAGCTCACCTTCCATTTGTTTGTACTGTTATGCCATAAAGTGACATGAATTATATTAAAAACTGATTTTTTTTCTAAAATAATGTCCAAAACATAGAAATTTTGATTATAATATTATTTCATAAAGTGGTATAAATTATATTAAAAACTCTAATTAATGTTGATTTTTTTTTAATTATTCTCATTTATTAAAATAAGACCATATAAAAATATTTGAATATTTAACACTTTCATAAAGTGGTATAAATTATATTAAAAACTCTAATTAAAGTTGAATTTTTTTTTAATTATTCTCATTTTTCTTAATTAGAAATGATTGCATATTTAACACTTTCATGATAATTAAAAACTTGTTTATTAAATACTAAATAATTTTCTTATTTGCTATATATAAACATTTAATTATAAATAATTTTGAAAAAAAAAATATTAGTAACATAAATAATTAAAAAAACAACACATTTTTACCGTATTTAGATTTATACATTTTTTCCGTGTTTTGATTATAAATAAATTTTTTCATATATTTAAAAATATTTGATCAACGTTAATTTTTTTTCGTATGTAAATATTGTTTTTGTTTCGATGTTATTTATAAAAATATTTGAATCAATAAAAAAGCTATTCCCGTTTATAAAAATATATATATTCAGTTATTTGAATAATTAAATTAATTTATCAAAAACCTATATTTTTATTGTATTTGAATAAGTAGTATATTTATTATTGATTAGTTTGATTTTATCCTTTTTAATGAATTTCAATAGGATTTATTATATCTTTAATTTTAAATTAAATAGTATTTAAAAAATTTACTTACACATTAAAATATAGAAGAATGTTGTCAAAATACATTAACTATTAACATATGCTTCGACCAATTAATTAATTTCACATCATTTTATTATATTTAACAATATATTTAATAGTTTAAATTTTGAAGATTTTCAATACAATTTAGTCTATGGTAACTCTATTCAACTTTTCAAAATAAGTAGATAAGAATTCACCATTAATTAATTATATTTGTTCTGCATTTTTTTTAGAAGCTTATACCTGAAATGAAATATTCTCAAATTATTATAAGTATTAATCTCTTTTTTTCTTATAAATATAGTGTTTCTTTTATAAATTATAAATTTTATATTACTTTTTAAAAGTATAGTAGAAATTTAATTTAATTAAATCCTTAATAATGAGAAAAAAATCATTTTCAATAATGAAAAATAAAATAGAGAAAATAGATTGTCTTCTGACGGTATGAATTATTTTTATACTATCAACTAATGACAATCATATATTTCACCAAATCAACTTGTAAATTTTAAATTACTTATATGATTTAGCACTTTAAAATATTTTGATTGGATGTATGTCTAATATTTATTTACATCGAGGATGCACCACCATTAAACTCAATAAAATAACTATATTTGTAATAATTACATAATAAATGTATCTTTAAATTTTTAAAAATGGTATCTATAAATTTTCATTCACTTTTGCTTACTTAAATAGTTGATAAAATCATTAAAAATATCTCAACTATTATTTGTGTTTTATTCATAACTTATTTTTCTATATAAATTTGAAATTTTAGATAAATTAATTAAAATTTTATTATTTAAATTATTCAATTAAAACTATTTGAATATTTTATCAATAACGTCATTACAACAATTATTTATATTATTCCATAAATTTACTTTAAAAAAAATAATGTTATTCATTTAAATTTCATGAATTAATATAAAACATTGATATTTTAAAATTATAATGTCTATAATAAATACATGCTTAAATATAGGTCGTAATATATTTAAAATTATAATGTCTATAAAACATTGATATCTGTATGAGAATGTCATTTTTATGTGATAACGTGAGAATGAATTCGAACTATTAGATTTTAAAATAAATGATAGATATTATTTGCGGTTTTTATTTTTCTCTTTCATCCATTATTAAAATAAATGATGAAAGACAGAAAAAAAAATTGACAAATAATCTTCATCATTTATTTTAAAATCTAATGGTTCAGATTTATTATCATGTTCTCACGTAAAAATGACATTTTCATATGATATGTAAAAACATGAGAATGAATCAGAAGCATTAGATTTTAAAATAAATGTTGGTGATTATTGGTGGTTTTTGTTTTTTTCTCTTCTCCATTATTAAAATAAACGATGTAGGAAAAAAATTGACAAATAATTTTCACCATTTATTTTAAAATGTAATGATTCAGATTCATTCTCATGTTCTCACATAAAAATGACACTCTCATATGATATGTTTCATATATATATATATATATATATATATATATATATATATATATATATATATATATATATATATATATATATATATATATATATATATATATATATATATATATATATATATATATATATATATATATATATATATATATATATATATATATATATATATATATATATATATATATATATATATATATATATATATATAAAATTACATGTTTTTAAATTATAAGGACTATTTTAAGTAAGAGGATAACTTCTCTAACCCCACAAAAAATTGGGTAGTGTAACTTCAACAAATTTACTAATTTCACATTATTTTATTATAGATTAAATTATAGTTTTGGTCTCCTATTTTATTTGTTTCACGAAATTAGTTCTCCTATTTTAAATTTAAACAATTTTAATCTCTTTATTTTAAATTCAAACAGTTTTAGTCTCTTCTCAAATTTTTTTTCATAGAAAATTGATAGAACTTTCATTTTATAAGTTATATTTTTATCTATAAAGTTCAATTATAGATTTATATACTATGGTTTGTTATGTTTTATATGTAAATTGTCATATAAAAATAAAATCATCGTTAATTTTATGTTCAAAAATATGAGAGAGGATCAAAATTGTTTAAATTTAAAATAGAGAGAGCAAAATTATTTAAATTTAAAATAGGATATCAATTTCATAAGTCAAGTAAAATAAGTGACCAAAACTGTAATTAAGTCTTTATTATATTTAATAATTTATTTAATAGTTAAAATTTTAAAGATTTTCAATATAATTTACTCTATAGATACCTCTACTCAACTTTTCTACATTTTTCTAGAAGGTTATACATTAAATGAAATATTCTCAAATTATAAATACTAATCTCGTTTATTCTTATAAATATAGTGTTTTTTTTATAAATTAAAAATTTTATATTACTTTCTTTAAGTATAGTAATAATTTAATTTGGTTAAGTCCTTATGAGAAAAAAAACATTTTCAATAATGAGAAATAAAATAGTCATATTTATAATAATTACGCAATAAATATATTTTTAAAATTTTTAAAAATGGTATCTTCAAATCATCGTAAAAGTTTAAAAAAAAAATTATATTGGTAAAAGTATTTTTAATATTGCTAAAATTTTCATTCAACGTTGATAAAAGGTCTTCTCTCATCAATAATCAAGTGCAAGATTGCATTGAATCAAGAGCAACAAGTCCCAAGTCATGAGAAGCATCCAAATTAGGGTTTTAACTTAATTTAGTCTCTGAGTTGACTTTTG